GAGGAATGTTGAAAAAGAAAAGCAAAGCTGGTGGCATCACAATTCCGGACTTCCAGCTCTATTAAAAAGCTGTCATCATCAAGACAGTATGGTACTGGCACAAAAACAGACACACAGATCAATGGAACAGAATCGAGAGCCCAGAAATGGACCCTCAACTCTATGGTCAACTCATCTTTGACAAAGCAGGAAAGAATGTCCAATGGAAAAAAGACAGTCTCTTCAACAAATGGTGTTGGGAAAATTGGACAGCCACATGCAGAAGAATGAAACTGGACCACTTCCTTACACCACACACAAAAATAGACTCCAAATGGCTGAAAGACCTAAACGTGAGACAGGAGTCCATCAAAATCCTAAAGGAGAACACAGGCAGCAACCTCTTCCACCTCAGCCACAGCAACTTCTTCCTAGAAACATCGCCAAAGGCAAGGGAAGCCAGGGCAAAAATGAACTATTGGAATTTCATCAAGATAAAAAGCTTTTGCACAGCAAAAGAAACAGTCCACAAAACCAAAAGACAACTGACAGAATGGGAGAAAATATTTGCAAATGACATATGAGATAAAGGGCTAGTATCCAAAATCTATAAAGAACTTATCAAACTCAACACCCAAAGAACAAATAATCCGATCAAGAAATGGGCAGAAGACATGAACAGACATTTTTCCAAAGAAGACATCCAAATGGCCAACAGACACATGAAAAAGTGCTCCACATCGCTCGGCATCAGGGAAATCCAAATCAAAATCTCAATGTGATACCACCTCACACCCGTCAGAATGGCTAAAATTAACAAGTCAGGAAACGACAGATGTTGGCGGGGATGTGGAGAAAGGGGAACCCTCCTACACTGTTGGTGGGAATGCAAGCTAGTGCAACCACTCTGGAAAACAGTATGGAGGTTCCTCAAACAGTTGAAAATAGAGCTACCCTATGATCCAGCAATTGCACTACTGGGTATTTACCACAAAGATACAAATGTAGGGATCCGAAGGGGTACATGCACCCCAATGTTTATAGCAGCAATGTCCACAAGAGCCAAACTGTGGAAAGAGCCAAGATGTCCATCAACAGATGAATGGATCAAGAAGAGGTGGTATATATACACAATGGAATATTATGCAGCCATCAAAAGGAATGAGATCTTGCCATTTGCAACGATGTGGATAGAACTGGAGGGTGTTATGCTGAGTGAAATAAGTCAATCAGAGAAAGACATGTATCATATGACCTCACTGATACGAGGAATTCCTAACCTTAGGAAACAAACTGAGTGTTGCTGGAGTGGTGGGGGGTGGAAGGGATGGGGTGGCTGGGTGACAGACACTGGGGAGGGTATGTGCTATGGTGAGCACTGTGAATTGTACAAGACTGATGATTCACGGATCTGTACTTCTGAAACAAATAATGCAATATATGTTAAGAAAAAATAAAAGAAGAAGAAGATAGCAGGAGGGGAAGAATGAAGGGGAGTAAGTCGGAGGGGGAGATGAACCATGAGAGATGATGGACTCTGAAAAACAAACTGAGGGTTCTAGAGGGGAGGGGGGGAGGGGGATGGGTTAGCCTGGTGATGGGTATTAAAGACGGCACATTCTGCGTGGAGCACTGGGTGTCATGCACAAACAATGAATCATGGAACACTACATCAAAAAGTAATGATGTAATGTATGGTGATTAACATAACAATAAAAAATTATTTTAAAAAAAGCAAAACGGCATATAGAAAAATGGGATGAGCAATGAAGGAATACAAATTACTAATAAACACATGAAATATCCTGAACCTCATAATTAACCAAGGAAATGTACCTTAGCACAATAACATCTTTTTTTCTTGAGGATGCAACTAATAAAAATTTAAAAAACTACAATATCCAGTATTGGCTAAAAATGTAGTAAAATAAAAATATTAAATAGAGTAATAAAACTTGTAAAAACCTTTTTTTACAAAGCAATTTGGCACTATCTATCAAAATGTCAAATGTGCACACCATACGACCTAGAAACAAACCCAATGCTAGGAATCTATTCTAAGGAAATATTCACATGTGTACAAAAGATGGACCTATAAGCACAGTTAATTCCATGTCAAGGACAGAAAATGTACAAGACTGGTCTGGAACATCCCATTATATCAGATAGCAAGCTATCAAAGGCTGCTACAGCTATGTCCAAAGGACTCAGGAATCAACCTGAACAGGATGTCACTTGCCAAAGGTGTCACAATATGAGCATCAATAAGATACTCAAAGGACTAAAACATCAAATAGGTTTTAAGTCCATGAGTTCAAACTGGTAACTACCCCAAAATTGCTCACTTTTAGAGGATAAAAGGAAACTAATCCCTTACTTTGAAAACTGGTAAATATAAGGAAAGAATAAAGTATTTATCCTGTCTTTCCTCTGTGAATTATACTACTGGATAACCAAATGGTAAATGGGGGAATATTTTCTTTATAAAACTATTCCAGTCACTATAATAAAAAAAGGAATGACTGGGGAGTGGGTGGGGGGGGAGGAATTACTGAACTGGAATATCACCATTTTGAAATCCTTAATAAATTAAAAGACCTAGGCATTAAGCACAAATAGCTGGTAAAACAACAGAGAAATAACCAGACATTAGCCTCCTAACAGAACAAAACACCACCCATGAAGTTGTTCTGCCACTCTCCCAAAAAACACACCTGATTCTGATCCACTATATCCAATTAGCAACTCAAAAAATACAAAGGAGAGAGGAACATGTTAAACTACACAAGGATGAAATTAACAAAAGCCCCGTTTCTTCAACAAATAAACTGATGAGACAAAAGAAAAAGAAAAAGAGGAAGGAAACTAGATTGAGACTTAAAAGGGATACCTAAACTTAAATCTTAAAAAAAGCCAAAAGTAAACTGAAGTACTAACGGGTGTACACCTACTTGGGTGTATGAAACTATACAGAAAAGTAAGGAAGTGTTCACCATAAAGGTATGGACATTAGAAAAATAGGCAAAGAACACAGCAAACCGAATATAATAGATGGCTCTTTAAAAAAAGTCTTCTCTATCAGCAAAGGAATAAGTTTTTAAATGTGCTAATATTCATCTATCAAATTCAAATCACACTAAGAATATATCTCTAAGAAATACGGATAGATCAAAGATTTATGTTGTATCAGAATTTATATAAGAAAAATAAAAAGAGCCATCTCCAACAAGAGTACAGTAACAAAGTATGGGGGCCTTCATACAATTAAATATTCAACAATCATGAAAAAAATAAGCACTGAGATTTGGCAAACTGTTAGAAATAACCTATTGAAATTGATTACAGGCATTATCTTATGACCCATTAATTTCACTCCAAGGTAGATCCCTAACAAAAACATGTAAACATATGTACCAAAATCCATATGAAAGAAGTCACAGCAGCATCATTCATATTAGCCAAAAGACAGAAACAACTTATGTGTCCATTAACTGATGAACAAAGAAAATGTGGGATATCCATACAACAGACGATTATTCAGCCATAAAAAGAAATGAAGGGCTAATACATGCTATACCACGAATGAACAGTGAAAACATTATGCTAAAGGAAAGAAGAGATCACAAAAGAGCATATATTTTACGATCCCATTTCCATGAAATATCCATAACAGGCAAATCCACAGACACAGAGAGCAGATCAGTGGTGGCCAGGAGCTCGAGTCAGGGAGGAGTGGCTCAGGGTTTCTTTTTTGAGGCACAAAAATGTTCTATAAATATACTAATATGTAGTGAAACTCTATAAATATATTGAAAATCAATGAATTAAATCAATAAATAGAATTAAGTCAGGCATTTTGACAGGTTTCCCCACAAAGTTATACCTTTCAAACATATAAATATAATGGTGCATGGAATGTTCTTTACCAGAGATAAACAAATGAAAGCCAGAATTATAATGTTACTTTTTCAATTTACAATGTTTCACCGTTGACTGGTTTCCACAGATCCATTAACTCTTTATCTCAATGAACACTTTAAAAAGGTCCATTAAGCAGAATTAAAGATCAAAGACACCAGTGGATGAACTGATAAACTAGAAATGGCAATGATTCTGTTGCTATGAAAGCAATTTAAAGCTAAAAGTGGAATAATTTATTACCATCATTCCTTAATTATCATAATATATAATTTGCTACAAAAATTTTAGTTTTAGCTACACATATCAGAATTTCTATTCAGTAGCTACAATAAAAAATTAAGTAGAGAGAAAGAGCATTGGGGCTCAACATCATTAACAAAGCAATAATAATGAGCTTTTAAATTACATAGTCATCCATGTGGCAAATTTTTTACCTGCAAATTGCCTTCCACAAGCAAGGTATCAAACTCCCAAATAATTTAAGTAAGCATTCTGAACACGCACTGGTACGTGTCTAATCTTACTCATGATACTTGTTCAAAAATGTTTGCAGAATTAGATATTAGTATAAAAACATCTTTAGAGAAGCAAAGTTAATGAGGGATATAATTGAAAAGGAGGCAAAATACAACCATAAATTCCTTACTTTACAGTCAAGTAAGAGGCTCAATTAGGAAGCACAATACTATCTTATATTATAGGTAATATATAAAGGATTACAGGAGAATTTTCAAAACTTTTATTGTAGGAAGTTTTGGGGTTTTTTTGAGACAGGCTGATTATTCCTACTATATAAATCACGAGAGTGTAGGCAGGGAATTAATGGCATTCTGGTAACCAATCTAATTGTTCATAAAGGAATTTTTAAAAGTTGCAAATAATATTTGCTTTCATACACCAATTCAAGTATTACATGTCACGTGTATATGACATACTATTTAGGAATATTAAACAAGCATATTGAATCCGACCTTATTAAAAATGACGGCACTGTTATTATGTGAGTGAGATATAGGATTTTTAGCATATAAAATCCTATCTTATGAATAATAAGCACTTACAAAAAGGGGAAATAAACTTATAAAAGTCTGTATGCTTACCTGAACCACCCAGGGACTGTTGGCAAAGGCCATAATATCTCTCTCTTCCCAGAAAAAAGCAGAATCAGATCTTTTTATCATTTCAAACTTACTAAGAAGCTTCATAGCATAAACCTTCTGTGATGCCTTATGACGAACCTGTAGATTTATTAAAACACAAAAATAATTTTGTGAGAGAAAGGTGAACAACATATACTATAATTCTATCACTAAAGACTTCAGTTATAAAACAAAATGATCTTTAGCTAACTAATAAAAAGTAAAAGCATAACATTTTTAATGGAAAAAAAGAAGAGAAAATTCCCAACAGCCTAAATATTTCATGAAATACACAATACCTTTAAATGCTAGGTTCCATAAATTCATAAAGCTTCATTCCTCCATGTTAATTAAGCTAACCAATTTTAAGAACAAGATATTATTAAGTGAGAAATTTTCAAGGTATGTACATGTATTGCTATCTGAATAGAACCTAGTAAATTTAGATCAAGGGATATTTGTGATTTTGTTAAGTCATCTTTATTTCTTTCAAAGTATCCTACTTAAAAGGTTTTTTTATGTTAAGAAAAAAAAACTACCACCAACATGATTATTTGAGCAATTCCTTTTTTTTTTTTTTTTAAGATTTTATTTATTTATTTGTCAGAGAGAGACAGAGCGCCCGTACACGCAGGGGGAGTGGCAGGCTGAGGGAGAAGCAGGCTCCCCGCTGAGCAAGAAGCCCAAGGCGGGACTCAATCCCAGGACCCTGGGATAATGACCTAAGGCAAAGGCAGATGTTTAACCAACTGAGCCACCCAAGCATCCCTATTTGATCAATTCTTATCTTCCTTGTTAGATTATAACTTCCACAAGGGCAAAAACAGTACCTTTTTTTGACCATCATTTTAATCCTAAATATACCACAGCAAATTCTACCACAGAGCCAATAAATACCTAATGATTATAACTGTTAACATTTACTGAATAATTAATAATAAATACTGACTGCTAGCATTTATACTTGGATATCTAACAGGATGTCCAAAACTGAACTCCAAATCATCACCCCTGAATTTATTCCTCCTATAGCCTTCCCCATTTTAGTAAATGGCATCTTCATCCTTCCAGTTAGTTGCTCTAGCTAAAAATCTTTGGCTCCTCTTTTTCTCTCACACAGCTCATCAAACTCACCAGCAAATCATGTCATTCCTACCTTCAAATAGTTTCAGAATCCAATCATCTATAACTACCTCCACTGATAACAACACCCTAATCTAAATCTTTTATGTCCATTACCTACAATAACCTAAACTGCTTTCCCTGCTGTCACTCTCACCTACCCACAGTCTCGTGATCCTTCAAAAACATAAACCATTTCCTGTCACTCCTGTTTTAAAACCCCAACAGTTTCTCATTTCATCTCTGCATGTGTTATTCTCTCTGCCTGGAATCAGCCCTTAAAGCAGGACCCAATCCCTCACTTCCTTCAGATCCCTGCTCAGACGTTACCTTCTAAGCAAGGCCTACTCTGATCAAGCTACTTCAATTTTTCAATTTACAGCCACCGTTGGCTGCCCACATATTCCCTATTCCATTCCTTCTTCCTTGCTTTTGCTCCATTGCACTTATTACCATCTTATACCTTATTTTTTACTTTTATTTTATTATGTCTTGCACTAGAAATTAAGCCCAATGAAGGCAAGGATTTTTGTGTTTTATTCATTGCTTAATACACGGTGCCTAGTAAAATGCCTGGCACATAATAACCTCTGAATAAATATTTGCTAAAAGAATGAATTTACTGAGTGGGCGCTTACTGTATACCAGGCACAGTGTATTTTCATAATTGTATTATTTAATCTTCGTAACAATCCCAATGAGGTATTACTTCCCCATGTTACAAATGAGAAATTTGAGGCATAGAGAAATTAACTAGCTGAGGGTTATACAATGAGTAGAAATCAAGATTTAAAGATACAGTAGTCTGGGGCACTTGGGTGGCCAGTTGGTTGTGTCAGACTCTTGGTTTCAGCTCAGGTCATGATTTCTCGGTCGTGAGACAGAGCCCTGTGTCAAGGTCTGTGCTCTGCATAGAGTGTGCTTGAGAGTCTCTCTCCTCCCTCCCCCCCAACCCCTTCCTGTGCACTTGCTCTTTCTCTCTCTCTCTCAAATAGATAAAATCTTTTTTTAAAAAAATTAAAAATGAAGGTACAGTAGTCTGCATCCAGAATCCATGCTAGTAACCACTTATCTATGCCATTTCTACATATGTACAGCCACTATTAGGATGATTTCCCCAGAACAGGGCCAGATTGCACTGGTCAGCACAGTCTTCCATTCAGTTACTGCTCTGTTTCACTCAGAAGTATGCCATTATTTGTACAACAAATTATATGGTCATCCTACTGAGGGCTGGATGAAAGAAGAGGCAACTGAGTTCCTGACAAAAATCTACAGAGATCTAAATGATCTAGCCTATAACCATCTTCCCAATTTAAATCTTGTCATTTTCTTTCCCTTGTTCATACTTCAACCATACTTACCACCTTCTTTCAGTTCCTCTAATATACCTTTCCTCAAGATCGTTACAAGTACTGGGAATGTAACAGAAAATCCATCACAGTCCCTGACTTCACCTCTTCCGCAGAGAGACTAGCTCCTTCATTCAGCTGAAATATAAACTTCTCAAAGGAGTGACCACTCTATCCAAAGTAGGAACTCATTGTTCTCTACCTCAGAACTCCATTTGTTTTCCTAGCAGATACCATAACTTGTGATTTTTTTTATGTTGTTTCCTTGTATTTGTCTATCTCCCACATTAGAATATAAGTTCAACAAAGTGAGGGATTACCCATGCCCATTTTATTCTCTATTATATCCTCAGTGTCAAATACAATGCCAGCATTAGCAATTAAAACAGATACTAAATATTTGATGAATGAATTAATGTCTGTGAAAAAAAATTTTTTCTATTAATTTGCTATTAATTTGCAGTTTTAAGAAAAATCCAACAGGTAATATTTCTAGTTATCTCTCATCAAGTACTGTGCACATTTAGAATCAGTACTTATATTGATGAAAATCAGGTAAACCAAAGGAATGCTCATGTCCTCCCCAGAGAAGATATGTAAGAACCATCATACTTTACAGATCAGATATTGTATAAAATGAAACAAAATTTTAGAAAAATCATACAATGCTGTACTTTTTTAATAGAGAGATTTTTCCTCCTAACAATTCCCAGAAAGAATTTTATTTGTTGTATGGACTTGAGCAAATCACTCACAGAAAAAGGTCATAGCATTAAACAATAAAGATACATACTCCAAATCATGCATCTTTGGCTATGATACAGAAACTGATACCAACTAGCCCTCACACTGTAAACAACAATCAAAATGGCAAAATATATGAAGCAACAGTTTTCAGGGTTGGTAAATTAGGCAGTACAAGACTATAATGCCTGAGAGGAGAAAAACTCACCAAGTCAACCCCCATAACTGCCCAGACACTCTGCTTGAAGGCAATATCCCAACCAGCATACAAGTGATCATCTAAGCTAAGTACAGTGGTCCTGCTGAATTGAAAAGGCAGAGATCAGAGTTCAAGAAAAATGAGGTAGCTGGATTATGCTGGGCAGGAAACAGGAACTTAAAGAGCTATGCAAAAGGTCTGTAGAAGTACCATATGAGTCCTTTGCCAAGGGCTGGACTATCCAAAGAGAAAGTACCCAAAGTTTACCAGGGATCAACTGCTCTGGGCTTGATAACAAAACAGAGACACCGGAGGTTAAATAACATTAGAACAACAATCAACTTCCAGCCAAACAAGAATGGAGAAACCTTGCTATTTCCTGAGCATTCAGGTGAGACAGCTTAGGAGAAAGAACCATGCGCTAAAGCAAGAGGTTCTAGTACTATCTAACAAAGCCTAGTAATGCCAATCCCTAAAAGATCAAAAGGGGAGCAGAGTTTGGAGGTTCAGTCCTACCAGTTAAAAGGACTTGGAAAACAACTTGGTCTTTTTGCACAAAGTATAAAATTCAGTGTGCACAAGTTAAGGGTGATCATCAGGCAATTGGACAGATTATTAGAATGAAAATCAACACATCAAGGAAAAGTAACAAACTAACAAAAAATCTCTATCATATATCTGTAAGGATCAGTATATATTTTAAAAATTACTTATTGGGGCACCTGGGTGGCTCAGTCAGTTAAGTGTCTGCCTTCGGCTCGGGTCATGATCCCAGGGTCCCGGGATGGAGTCCCACATCAGGCTCCCTGCTCAGCAAGGAGCCTGCTTCTCCCTCTCCCCCTGCCACTGCCCCTGTTAGTGCTCTCTCTCTGTGTCAAATAAATAAATAAATGCTTAAAAAATAATCTAGGCATTTAAAAAATAAATAAGGAAATAAAAATTACTTATTAGGCACAAAAGGAAAGCATGACTCATCATCAAGAAAAAAAGCAGTCAATAGAAAACAACCCCCAAAACACTGACCTTAGCTAACAAATACTTTAAATATCTCTTACAAATATGTTGGAATAACTAAAGGAAAATATGTTAAAGAAAAAAAGGAAAAAGTAGTCACAATGAGTGAATACAGGAAAATACCAACAGAGAAATACAAACTGTAAAAAAGAAACTAGAATTTCTTTAACTGAAAAATAACAAAAATGAAAAATTCATTAGAAGGGCTTAATAAAGAATGGAGACAGAAGTCTGTGAAGCTGAAGACAAATCAATCTGAAGAATAAGGAGAAAAACAAATAATGAAAATGAAACAGTGACCCCGGGGCCTGAAAAGCAATTAAACAGTATAAAATATGGGGAAATATAAATAGACTAAACACTCCAATTCATAAACAGAAATTATCAGAATTGATTAAAAAAGCAAAACCTAATCTCATATATTTTAAATATTAAGATCAAATAGATTAAAAATAAAAGGACAGAAAAAGATGTACCACACAAATAGCAAGGATAAGAAAACTGACAGAGCAATATTAGTAACAGATAAAGTAGACTTCAAAGCAAAGAAAAAAGGGGGGGTAAATGCAGATAAAAGGAGTAAAATTCACCAGTAAGGCATAAAAATTCTAAATATGTATGCATCTAATAAATGAGCTTTAAAATTCATGAAACAAAAAATGACAGAA